GTTTATAATGGGTTTTAATGTTTTTGAATCATTGCTCCGGCCTGACAGGGCATCACAGTATGGTAGGGGCATAACATTTCCTCACACCTTGAGGTATTCGGCCAATCACAACGCACTGGATAGCTGGCCAATCAGAGCACACCTCGCTTTTCAGACGCGTTTCAGAAAGGCGGGGCATAGAGGAGAAACAATAATGTACAGTATGTGGAAAATAATGTGTTTTTTGGACTTTAAACCGCATAAACACATTTCATTACATCAAATACACAAAATAATGTTCTTTTTAGCAACATCATATGACCCCTTTAATCAAAAATACAGTAAAAACAGTAATATTGTGAAATATTGTTACAATTTCATCTTTAACATTGTATTTAAAAATAATGTAAATAATATGTTTTTAAATGTAACTTATTCTTGTGAAGGCTAAGCTGAATATTCAGCAGCCATTACTCCAGTCTTCAGTGTCACATGATCCTTCAGAAATCATTCCAATATGCTGATTTGCTGCTCAAGAAACCTTTCTTATAATTATTATAAAACTGTTAAGTATACACATAGGGATTAAAATGCATCACAAACGTTCACCTGTGTTACTCACTCCTCCAGCCCAAGGCATCCAAGAAGGGGTGACTCCTGTGGCAATACTCCAGATATCTGTCAGATTTATAGAGAAAATGCTGCTCCACATTCCTTCATAAACACACACACAGATTTGAGTTATTAATGTGACTGGTTACAGTTTACATCATTTGCTTACAGCACAGGATCAGGTTCAGATACAGATGTAGACTCCCCCTACTGGCCAAAATCAGCAAAAAAATTATTTATTTTTTTTTAGATGCTGAGCGCAACAATCCATTTCTTCTTCTGTTACTTATGGCCTTCAGTTTTTATTCTGTTCCATTACTTTATTATGTGCATGAACTCAAACACATACACTCAAACTCACCCACAAGAAAAGACAACCCAGTTTCAGGGAGTTTCTTGACCATGTGACCGAGGTAATATTCACTCCCAAAGTTCTGCGCAGGTATGAAGGCACCGTATTTTGGAAATCCAACCTCATATGGGGTGAACTCACACCATTCTAATTAGAAAACAAAGAAACATGAGATTATTGCACTTTTATTCCCAACATCAAGCTACAAGCTTGTCGTTTATCTACTCCTTTCTCAGTGAGCCTATTCTAAAAACGTTCTGTAAGTCTTAGGATGAGAAAATCATTTGCATGTTTATATCTTCATAAGGAGTTGCTGAATAGTCTCTTAAAGCTATTAATATAGCACTTCACAGGAAGCTGATAGCTGAATTTACTCAACAGACATTGCACATCACTCTGGCACTTAAATAAGTTTGAATAATATAAAGGCAATGAAAAGGATTTGTACTGGACTGTTAACAAATATAAAGTGCGCAAGATGCAACAGCTACAATGCAACGTTCATAATTATATATCTAATATAACCAAATTACATTTATTTCAAACATTTTATTAAACACGTATGACTCAATTTAGTGCTTTTAAATGACAATTTATATGAATAAAATGTTCTTATATAAATAAACATGGATGTATTATATACACAAGTATATTACAAGAACGTATGGTAACTTATATTAATTATATTTATTTACAGAATTATATTATCATACCTTAAGCTCCTCTAATAAGCGCGATTCACATGTCTATGTTTAATCATGTTGCAGGTTGTTCCAAATTAATGCATTTTTTCAAGTGGCATGAACTTCAACACAAACAGACTTTTGACTATAAGAAAGTCTGGTTCACTTAGAACGACTTGATTAGACAGAAAAAGACAAGAGTTTACAATATGTAAACTGTCTGACAGATAGGTAAACCAACTAACAGATATGTAAAAGAAAATCAACCATAATTTGATGATATGAACACTATCTTATTGTACATATTATGTAACGTGTATAGTATGAACATACTAACTCTTAAAACAAAGCAGAACATACAGTTAACGCCCGATGATATCATGTCACCTTGACTCAAATAAGGTGTGTGACCAGTATAGCAGGCAGCATCTGCATCCTAAACAAATGATGGTCATTATAGAAAGTGCGCTTAAGCACTATCTGTTTGACACAATTAGTATTAGGAAATTACCGCCCATGGGTTGTTTATTTACATTTCCTTATACGTTTTAGTTTGAGAGAAGCTGAATGGCCATTATATTTTTATTAGTACATACCTGCATCTGTTATACTTTCTGTTTTGCCATTCTTCAGGTTAACAGCTGTGAATATGGGTAGAGGGTTCTGGCTTTCAGACACTGTCCTCTGCATTTCAGATAGAGTACCCATGTGTTTCTATAAAAGGAAAGTATTATATCGTGCACAAAATTTTAATACAGAGCCAAAACTGACAGAAAACACAATTTTTTTTTTTACCTTCCCTTGGAAAAGATACTCTAAAGCCAGCCCCCACATGTCGATGAGAGACACAAGGAGTCCTTCTTTCTCTCGCTCTTGCATCCTCTGTTTGTATTCCTGTAGCTGCTCTGAGGAAAACATACTGAGCACCTTTTTAGAGAGCTCCTTCTTTACAGACTCCATAGACTTATCAATGCCACCCATTGACCAGTTAGGGTCTCTATAAAGAGAGCCTAGAGCCCTGAAATACAAAGATTGACTTTTTCCAAATTCTTTTTCCATATGACGGTGCAGCAACCATAGAGTCTAATTGTTCATTCAGATGCAACCCATCAAATTATTAATTTTTTACCTAATTGTAATTACTTAAAATCTGTTTGCTGTCTGTCTGATGCATACTGTACTTTCTCAGTCTGACTAGCACACATGGTTTTTATCAGTCATGCTTAAAAATGCATTAAGACTCCGCATTCTCACCAAGTGGCACCTGAAACCCCTGTGATGTAGCTGACTGCATCAAGAAGCTGGATCTTCTGCAGTCCCTTAAGGCTACCATATGTGCTTGTTAACGCTCTGCTCCCACCACCAGAACACACCACAGCCACCACTGGGACCTGAGGAGTCACATCAAACAGATTCAAATGTTGCTCTATTTGTTATTGGGTATTTGTATTCTATACAAACAATAGAATCAAAATTCTACTGTACATATTGTACAGTAGGAAAACATCACAATCTCTTAAGTTCTTTGCTGAATATATGGGTTATTTGTGCTAAAGTACCTTGCTGGGCTCAGGTGCAGAGCTGAGATTCAGAGCTTTCTGTAGAGCCTTTGACACAACTTTTTTTCTCTTCACCAGAAAATTCTTTTCTTCCACTGGGATATCAAAATCCAGGCGCACATCCATCTCTTCATGGGAGCTTCAGAACACACACAAAACCATTTTTATCCTGAGATTAGGATGGATTTGAAATAAAAGCTGATAAATAGTATTGTAATTTACAATGTTTTATTTTATATTTTCTAATTATCATTTACTATTAAACTACTACTGAGGATAGATGTGAATTAATTCACGATTTGTTACCGATCATCCGTTTTCAGTTGCAGATCAACTTTATTCTTTGAAAAAAAAAAGGAAAGAAAAACAGGTCATTTTAGATTAAATGCACACATGAATATAATATATGAATATAAATACAGGATTGTTTAATATATTAATTATGAGAAAAGATGGGGAGAAATTTATATTACTCTGTTAGTGTACAGTATTATGTGTTACTATATTATCAATAACCCATTTTTGGAGCGTCACATTTAGATTTAATCGATTAATGAATCAATAACTCACCTCTCCCAGAGGCAAAGAGACCGTAATCTGTTGTTTGGATGGTAATGGTTTTAAAGGGATAGAGATCAATCCAGTGTCTACAGGGTCTGAAACAGCAGCATCCACTACTACTGTCCCAACCTGGAGAAAAGTATGTTTGTTTAAGCAAACATTTAAAGCCACACTTTCTGTTTGTTTCAGGTGCTTTATAAATCTACAAGCCCTTGTGTGAAGTACTGTATACATACTGTTCCTGTTGCACAAAATATGAAAAATGAGTAAGTAATATAATTTATGTGGTAGTGTGTCAGGAATAATTGTTGGCATGGATGACCTACATTTTCTGGAATACTCTCAGAGGTCAGATTGAGTTCAGTTTCCAGGTCTCGGTTGATGTAGTAACGTAACGTTTTCAGGAAGCTAGAGCTTTCCTCAGAATTTGAGATCACAAAATCCTCTTTGTAGGCCCCTTTCAGTTTTAAAACCATGTTCTGCATTGCTAGAACACACAGAGAATAAGCAAAAAACACCTAGGCCTAAATCTAGGATTATAATCACTCTTTGCAGAGTTCATTTTTACACTGCTCGTGTTTTCAAAATTAATTTATAGAATAGAGCAATTTAACATTTTATTTTCTTTTACAGTTATTTCTGAATACCAATGAATTTCCAGTAGCCATCCAATATCCAAGCATTTGCATGGGAAATGTGGATGAACATGTCTATTTACCTTCAGTCTTCTTTAGAAGCTTGTCTATCTCCACATTCAGTTCACAAAAAGGACCTGCCTATTTCAAGAGAAAGCATAAAGTTCATATGATAAAGTTGTTGTATTTTTGAGTGTTTAGTTAGAGTGGTAAGAGCATGTAGCCTATAGTAAAACTGAAGCTTTTTAAGAAGACACCTTCTTATACTGTACATCAGAAAATCATTATTTTAAATCATCTGACTGTAACCCATGATATATTTAAGAAAGTTGTAGTAAAGGTTCGTACCACCAAAACTCCATTAGAGAAATATGGGCTTGGTGTTTCAGAGCTGCAACACACAGACACACACAAAACAGAAACTTAGATCAGATTTATGTGTATGGACATGCACACTCGACTGTGCAACAGGTTCTTGCTTGTATCTATTTTTGCAAATGCCCACTAGAACTGCTAAAGGCAGTCTCACTCACCTCTTAGTGATCTCAAACTCTACCCACAGTTCATCCTTGGTCTGAGAAAGAAAGTACTAGTCACAAATCAAATATCAAGTGCTTTCAGTCAACTAAGTGTCATTTTATGTTGTAATATCTGTTTAGATATGAGATCTCTATATAGCTGACCTTATCATTTATTATAAAGCATTTGGTCTCCTTTTTCCCAGGTGTGAGGTTATTGATGTCAAATAGGATAGTGGCACAATGGTCGTCCCTCATTAATGGATCCTCATCATAGATCAAGATCTCCAGAATGTTCTGTGTATAGAGAACAAAGGTAAGGAGTGAAAGTGTAGCATTAAATTTTGTTGGTTCTAATGAGACATCTAATGACACAAAAACTAGAGTAATTAAATATTTGAACTCATATTGCACATCTTACTGGAGAGATAAATAAGGGAGGTTAGAAATAGGATATAAAATAATAAAACATTCTAAGATCAGACAAATAATTTAGTGGTTTACCTTGATGTTGCTGTGCACCCTGAATGTGAAAGTTTCATTCCATTCAGGTTTCTCGCTATTTGAGATAGTCTTGGTGCGATTTGTACGGGCCGATGCCGTGGGTAAGTTTAGGATGACATAGCAGTCAGATGAAGACACTAAAGAAAAAAATTGATTTGGGGTTGGAAAAGTTAGTGAGTTGGCTGAGATAATTAAACATCTATTTGTATGCATGTACACTCAGAGAGATTACTGTTGTATTAGTTGTCAAACTGTACGGCTGAAGGCTTTTGAAAGCCCAGAAATGCCTTTAAAAATACATAGTGCATTCATAGCCGCGGGAACGTATTTTGAGCTGGGGGGGCTGAGAAATAAAACGGTGGGGGGGTGGCTGGGGCACGT